AAATCAGAGATAAAGAAATTAATATACTTGTGTTTCATGTGTATATATACTTCTTCTTTCAGCATTGTTTTATTTTTTATTTTAACTTTTTTGCAATATAATATAACTTGCGTTATTTTTTAGGTCTCCTTTATATAGAACATCTACAGTAAAAAGTTTCAACTGTTTCAACTGTTTTTATTTTATAATCCTGTAAGATTTTTTATTTAAAATATACACCTTTTTATTTACAAAATTATGGCCAGTTAAAAATCAAAAAAATTTACTGTAAGCTCTGCATACTCAAATTTTTCCAATTTTGCTCAATATCCAATCAATCATAACTTTTAAATGTTTTGGTCAATCAAGCTGAAATTTTCAAGTTTGTGTTTTTATCATAAAATCTGTAGGTGGGGCACTTCAAAACTAGATGATTGTGTTTTAATCATAAAATCTGTACTTTGGGGCACTTAAAATCTAGATGATTTCATATGGAGTAATTTAAATAAATAAAAAATTTGTTAAGCAAAATAATTCAAAATACCTTATGTATTGTAATGAATAGTTAAATGTTTTTATGTATGTATGTATGTATGTATGTATGTATGTATGTATGTATGTATGTATGTATGTATGCATGTATGTATGTACGTATGTATGTATGTATGTATGTATGTATGTATGTATGTATGTATGTATGTATGTATGTATGTATGTATGTATGTATGTATGTATGCATGCATGTATGTATGTATGTATGTATGTATGTATGTATGTATGTATGTATGCATGTATGTATGTATGTATGTAATAACTAAACATACGTACATATGTATATATGAATGTAATAACTAAACCTACGTATGTATGTATATAAGTATGTCAGAGTTGTACACTTGTGGTTGCCTGATGGAACCAGGTGACTGAATTTTATGAAGGCAGAATAAAAATATTCCTTTGATGCAACTTTTTGATAATGACTTTTTAACTATCTGAAATAATGATGAAACTACATTTGGAAAGTCACTTGCTGTTACTTGTGAACTGTTTTTCCGAGTCTGAAGACTCAGAAAAACAGTTCACAAGTAACAGCACAAATTACAGGAAAAAAAAACTGCAATTAAATTAGTAACATCTTCAAAAATATCAACCAGCAAAGCAGCAACCATTTGCTGATAGTTAACTTAAGATGGGATCGACATTCAGACTAACTAATAAGTTTTTTCCACATCTTATGCATCATTTGGCATTCATTTTCGAAATTACTTTTAATTTCACTCATAAAAATCCTATAGGAAATCGATCTTGTGATTGGGGAGGCTAAATCATTTAATCTAATATTTGATCATTCTCAGTCAAATAAATATAACAAATTTTCTAAAAATATATTTTAGATTTAAGTTTCAAATCATTTTCTTTTGAAAAATTAATAGCTTCTTATTATCCCACTTTTCCGAAGGTGAAGCATAATTTTTTAAGTGTATAAATACTTTTGTAATTATTCCCTCTATTTTCACAAAATTATGTGTGCCATTCTAACCAAAACACCTAAACACTACATCCGCCATGTTTTAAAGTAAATAATAAACATTTTATCATAAATTCAATGATTTTTTATCCAAAAAAACAATATTCTTTTGAAACTAAGTTTTAAAACATCGACACATTGGTCTGCGTTTACATTCATTGATGGTCCGTTTTTTATGCCATTTTGCCCACTTTTTTTTGCATTTTTTATTATTCTTATGATTTTTATCAAAGCATTTTAAAAATACCAAAATACTTTTAAATTATATAATAGTTAAAAAAAAAAACATAAAAAAAAGTTAAATAAAAAATAGCATTTAAAAAAAAAGTTAACGCCATTAAAATAATTATAAACAGTAGTGTGCATATATATATATATATATATATATATATATATATATATATATATATATATATATATATATATATATATATATATATATATATTAGGGTGATTCATATTTGACGAATTTTCGAAAATCAAGTTGGTCCTATCTGGAATGGTTGACCACCAATATAAAAATAATTTTAAGCCCAAAAATTTTAATGTCACCTGATTTTAAAGGTCCCCGCCGGTCAAATTTGTGTAAAAAAACATATCAAACTTTAGGGGTCTGGCGGAGACCTTTAAAATCAACTCAGAAAGCCAAATTTTTCTTTTATATGGTATATTTTGGATTATTTATTTATAATAGGGTAGAACCAAAATGAAATATGGTGGTATTTATTCCACATATTGTGTTGAATGTGACGAAAAAAACAAATTTTTACATAAAATGACGCACCACTATGTATAACTGACGCTTGATTATTCTTCATATTTAGGCCGAATTTAAAAAATTAATGTTAGGACTAAGCATTAATAATGTTTATATAGAAGGGGCATGTGAATAGCTATCCGCCACCTTCACCCTATTTTAGGAGATGTCTTACCCCCCCCCCCCCTCATCCTTTATTTGTTAGGGACGGGGGGGGGGGATGCAAATTTATTTAAATTTTATTGAAAAAAAGACAATATAAATATTAAATTATGATAACATTTTGATTCCTGGATATTTTGGAATTTTTATTAGTTTCCGCGGTAATTTTATAAACTAACAAATTGTCGTATTTGCGGAAGACATATTGTCGTAATTTTAAATTCTCTGCTCTGTGTTCTGTGTATCTGGTGTATCCATAACATTCTATAAAAGTTATACTATCTGCGGTTATATACGAAATTGTTATTGTAAAATACATGTCATTTAATCAAAGAATGAATATGAATTGTTTTCTTTAATCAAATTACTGTTTAGAAACCAAGATGCCAAGATCAACAAGACTTAAAACAAAATCTTTTTGAAGAAGAGGATCTTATAGAAAACCTACCAGAAATGTTTTCAACAAATAAAGACATTATTCTCTACTTTCAGTTTAGAAGATCTGGAGACAAAATAACTCCAACAAAAAAGCTGATTGCTTGTACCATTGGTCATCAAACAGCAAAGTGTTCTGGTCTTGGTAGCTGTCCTGAAAACTGCATTATGTTTGCAGTTAAGAAACCTTGGATAGACGGAGGATACGAGGATGGGATACTCACTGACCCATTTATAAGGTAGGTTAAACAAAATTTAATTCATATTTAATGGACAGGTTACCATAAAATACACTACAAAATTTTTGGATAATATAATATTTTCTAAACCAGTTATCGCTTATAATTAATACTTAACTTAACGCTGCTGCTCACCATTCGTGCACCTTTACACGGATTTTTTTACCATACTTGGCCTTTGAGTTTTATCATAAATTGCTTTACTTCTGAACTCGCCTAATGGGGCTCTTTCAAATCTTAATAATCTGTCAGTATCTGCTTAATCAGTAATGAGATCAAAAACTTTGTTTCATCAGCTTAATTAGTGATAAGATCAACAATTTTTATTTGATAACTTCTGTAGTAAAGGATGAACATTATGTTATTATTGAATTAGTAAAGTAACTTTTAAAGTCAGGTGATTTATTTAAATCATGCATTTTAGTCTTTTGTCAATTGTATTTAAATTTATTAATTTATAAAATTAATCTCTAATTTTTAAATTAAAAGACGACTCAAGAAGACGTTGCTCATTTCAAAGGTCAAGAGGTCAAACTCTTGATAAAGTTAGTGTTTAAAACACTTGCATCTCACACGGTCAACTCAATGTTACATGTTAAAGAACAAGATCGTTTAATACCTTATTTAAAAGAAGTTATAAAAATCCGTATAAAAAACCAGATTGTTTGATAGTTTGTTTTTGAAAGTTGTTAAACATTTATTACGAGGTATTTCAAAAAACAAAAATAAGGTTGTATTTGTAAAGTTTCAAATTTATATATTTTTCTTAATTTATATATTTATCTATATATGTGTGTTATTTATACTGTGTTTTATTGTGTATATATGTGTTAAGGTTATATGGGTTTATATTTTGTAAGTGTGTAAATATATGAAATGTTTCAATGTTTGTGGTGTGTTATATGTAATATGTTTATAGTTTGTAAGTGATAATTATGTTGTTTGCATGGTTTCAAATTGTTGTGACTGGGCTTAGTTTACAGCAAGATTGATGACCTCGCTAGCCAAGTGGTGTACTTTGCTATAATGTGACCTGGCTTTGTTGAGAGCAAAAATATTGTCCTCGCCAGCAGAGTGGTGTATTGTCATAATAAAACACATAAATTAATTCTGTTTGTAATTAGTGTATTTCTAAAATGTGTTGAAAAAATATTGCTGAAAAAATGTGTTTTAATGTTGTTATCCACTGTTCTTAACAATGTATGCTTTTGACAATAAATAAATTTTGTTAAAAAGCAGGCTTTACTAACAGCTCCTCCTCATTAAAATTTTTAAGAGTTTCGATTTTCTTCATTAAATATGTTTAACTCAAATTTTTTTTATATATATAAAAGTAAGTATACAGCGTGTTGAAGCATAAGTTATAATAACTTTTGTTAAATTTTTAGGATTTTTTGTATAGAGAATGTTTTCTTTATATTATTATTTTAATGTTTTGTATGTACATCAATATATATATATATATATATATATATATATATATATATATATATATATATATATATATATATATATATATATATATATATATATATATATATATAGACACACACAATAAAATATATAGAATTAAAATGTCTATACATATATTATATGTATAGACATTGTAATTTTTTTGCCCTAAATTATTGTCCCTTTTTCTTTAGAATATTAAATATCTAAAAAAAAATTAAAATAGTAAAAGAAGTTTCAATATTTCCAAGTTTCTTCACTTGAAGCAAATATATGATTGTTTATAGAGGTTCTTTTAGTAGTTTTGTATTTATTTATTGCAAATCTTGCGTTAAATGCCTTTCAAAGTAATGAAAGGGTTTTGTTGATGGATGATTACATTTTATCCTTCCATGCTAGCAGTACCTGCTGAGTTGACAGGCCTTAAATTTTTTAAATTTGCTTTATTTATGAGTTCTTATATGTAAAAAATTTGTTTTTTAAATTACATTTGTTTTTTTTTTTTTTTTTGTTAAATACTTATAATATTTTGTCAATAATTGATAACAACTACCATAAATATATAAACAATACTTAGTTGAAAATATTACATTAATTTATAACTTTAGTTTAAGTTTTTAATAAAACTATGTCATCTTAACACAATGCTATATATGGCAGAAAATAATAGATTATAGTATTATGCTCTGTATTATTTGCTTACACTATATTTTAGATAAGTTAAAAAAAGAAACTTCAACTTTTATTATATTAGGCATCATTTTTACACACTCCTTTGATGCCTAATTATGTCTAATAATTTAAGAAATGAAATTATTAGACTTCGTCAAAATGAAAGAAGGCAGGCTAGGCGAGCTGAGATAAACCGCCGTCGAAATGAAAGAGATGAGCCCAGGCGAGCTGAGATAAATCGTCGTCGAATTGAAAGAGATGAGCCCAGGCGAGCTGAGATAAATCGTAGTTGAATTGAAAGAGATGAGCCCTGGCGAGCTGAGATAAATCGTCGTCGAATTAAAAGAGATGAGCCCCGGCGAGCTGAGATAAATCGTTGTCGATTTGAAAGAGATGAGCCCCGGCGAGCTGAGATAAATCGTCGTCGAATTGAAAGAGATGAGCCCCGGCGAGCTGAGATAAATCTTCGTCGAATTGAAAGAGATGAGCCCCGGCGAGCTGAAATAAATTGTAATCAAAATGAAAGAAATCAGGCTAGGTGAGAACTTAATAGGTATAATATGCATCGCATAGCAAGAAATAATATTGCTATAGAGAGTAACTACCTCGGAGAATTAAACCATAATTGTCAGTATTGCAGTGCAAAGAAGTTTTTAAATGAAACTCATTTTTTGTGCTGCCATTCAAGAAAAGTTGTATTAGCTCCTCTTTTTCTTTATCCGCCATTGTTGACTGGTTTAATGACAGGAAACCATGTTGATCATGCTGTAAATCAAAATTTTTTTAAACACATAAGGAGTTATAATTCCTCTTTATCTTTTGCTTCCTTCACTGCCGAAATAGCTCCTCCCTCAAATAATGGCCCTTTCTGTTTTAGGGTCTGTGGGCAAATTTTGCATCGTGTTGGAAATTTAAGGCCTGCAGAAGGTTGTCTGCCCAAATATTGTCAGCTGTATATCTATGATCCTAATGCAGCTTATTACATTGATTGATTGTTTTTATTGCATTTTTAATTTTCTTTTATTTATCTCAGCTGCTGCTTCTTCTGTTACAAGTAAGTTGTTCTATTCACTTATACTTGACTTAATTTATGGATTAATTGGTTTTATTGCATTTTTAACTTTCTTTTATTTATCTCTAGCTGCTGCTTCTTCTGTTACAAGTAAGTTGTTCTATTCACTTATACTTGACTTAATTTATGGATTAATTGGTTTTATTGCATTTTTAACTTTCTTTTATTTATCTCTAGCTGCTGCTTCTTCTGTTACAAGTAAGTTGTTATATTCACCTTTACTTGACTTATTACATTGATTGATTGCTTTTATTGTACCTTTTGTTTTTTAATATAGCTACAAATGTGCTTTCCAGTTTAATTAGTTAATGTAATAAGTCAAGTATTAGTGAGTAAAATAAATAAGTTGTTGTGCTCACTTGTACTTAATTTATTACATTATTTGCTTTTATTGTTTTTTTACAGTAGATTTTTTGTAAGTATTACCTAAGTAGATAGTTGTATTTATATATATATTTTTTTTCAGGCTCGAAGTCATGGGAAGATTTCCGAAAATATCGCTCCCAGCATCCAGGCCCTCTATCTATGAGGGCCTTCCATCGCTGGTGTTTGTATGGGGACGACCATCCCTCCTTTAGATGGAGGGATGGCACACCATACAACACGGGGAATAGAGCGGATGCTGGGAGGAGAAGACAACGTGGCTCAAAAGTTGTCAATAATTTTTTTACATTTTAAAATGTAAAGAAATTGACAACTTTTGAGCCACTTCATTTTTTTTTTGTAAAATATTTTTGTAAATTTATTTTTGTTGTTTTTTAATTTTTCCCATGAATGTTAAATGTTATCAAAGTAAATCATTTAAATAAAGACACCTTTATCAACAATGCTCATTAACTAGAAATAAAAGTCACGGTCATACATTTGATAAAGTTAATGTTAATCTCAAAGGGATTTGGTTTTCACACAATCAAATTCTATGTAGCACCTTTCAGAACTAAGAATATAAGTGTGTGGTGTTAGTAGTTTAAAATATGTATAATAAACTCAGAATAACTCAATAACTCTCAACAAAACTATGAACTAATTTTGAAATTCAAGTTGAGCTTTTTTATTCATTAATACCTCCCCTCCCAATAACTCTAATTTTCCTTAAAAAACTAATTTTTTTGTTCTTTGAAGGTGGTTCTGCTATTTAATTAATTGTTGTGATGTTTTATGCAAATATATTTAGCTCACATTCATGTTGGTCTGTCAGGGTTATGTAAAAATAAAAAAGTAAGTTTCTTATTCGCATATTTGAGTTTTCAAAAGTATTGATTGCATGACATGTTAATTTGTAATTAATGTGTATGATTATTCGTTTAAATAACTTTGTTCCATTTTTAGTTCCGTTTCTTATAGCTGACTTGATTATGGCTTACCTAAAGCTTAATATTTATGAAACAATGATTCAATTTAAATTGTATTATAAGTAGCTCTGTTGAATAAATTTTTTTTTTGTAATTTGTACTAAAGGTTATATTTTTATCTTATATCAAGAAAAATATGTTTTTAAGTAAATATCTGTATTTTTTTATTTTGGGATTTATTGTTTTAAATGGATATAAAAATCATTTTTGCTTTGTCTTTCATATTTCATTTTATTATATATGAATAAGAACCATTTATGCTTTAATCACCATTAGCACTCGAAGTTTCCATTTGCATTAAGTATCAATTTTTGGCACACACAACAGGTTTAATAACTTAGGCAGTAAAAACAGCTTGAATGATTTGTTAAGAGTCTTTAAAGAAACGCTTTTACGAAAAGCATTAAATAGATAAAGCTAACTTATTTAAAATAATGTCTTTAACCCGTTTTTCTATATCCAAATTTACTTTTTAAATAAATGTTGATGAAAGGGTAAAATATCGTTATAGCCTACGTTAATTTTAAATTCTTTTTAAATTAAAGAAAAGAGTTTTGATACTTATTTAAATAGGGTTAATAAAATATTTTAAATTATATTATATATATTATATTTAAGAAATTATTAAACTAAATTAAATAAGATTTTTAGATGAAACAGTAAAAATAATTGTTTAAAATACGTGCGTGCAAATAATTCCTACAAATACTAAACGTAAAATAACGCTTACAAACACCAAAAGTATGTTTGCAGTGAATAAAGTTAAGTTCAAAGATAAATAGGAAGAAATGTTTAAAACTGTTTCAATAATAACATTTATTTTTAATTACTTTTGTTGTAAGTTGGGATGAAAAAAAAAGGTCACTGGAGTATGAACTCCCGGGGTAAGATGACTATATCTGTCTAAGTGTTGCGCGTCTACCAATTAGCCCATAAACGTATTTTCTATTTAGAATTTAAGATTATTTATGACGCATAAGAAGTGTAATTAAAAATTCAAAACCAAGTTTGCAACAACTGAATTTAAATAAAATCTAATTAGATGTGTATATGTTATGAACGTTAACTAAGGCGTACTTTAACGGCGTCACGTGTTGAATGTTTTAGCATTTTTCTAAGTTCGTAGTCTTTTTTACGTTTTTTCTTATTAAAATTTTTATAATCGGCATAATATTAAAATCGTTTGAAGTTTTTAAAAGAACATTTTAACAGAAATGTTTTTGTCATATCAAAAAGTAAGTATAGTTTTTTATATGTACATTTTTAAACGGTTTTAAAAAAATATTGAGGTAAGGAATAAGTATAGAAAAGGTCGGTGTGGAATAGATTTACTAAGACCCTTAGTTTACGTCCGGATAGCTATAGATAAGTATAAAAATGGTCGGTTCGGTAAAGACCCGTATTTTACGGGTCACCCCAGCTAGTATATATTATTACAGGAAGCATATCACTGATCTGATCAACAGCTGGGAGAGTTTAAAGAAAAGTAAGTGTAAGAACTCGAAAGAAGCAGGAAAAACTAGACAAGATTTCAAAAAAAAAAAAGAAGGAAATAAGGTTTTCTGGATTGCTAAACCAAATATCCAAGATATTCTTAAGAAGACTAGCCTTAATAAGGACTCGTATCGTACTGATATGAAACTTTTGAGAGATCAAAAGGCCAGACGTAAAATGACTCTGGGTAAAAAAGACAAGCTATATAACCGGAGAATTGAGAAGAGAGAACAGAAAAGATTGAAACATCCACAGTTAGTGTTGAACAGTTTTCTCAGAGAGATGATTTGACTACAGAGCTTCAGTATTCTTCTGAAACTAGTGATACAAGTACCAGCATGGACTCAGATTGTTCTTTTGATTTCGAACAGTCAGGTCCAAGTAATGATACGCCGCAGTTAGCCAAGAATTTTGTACAAGATATTGCCATGACTTCACTTTCCAAAAATATTTCCTCCAGAGATTTGATGCATGTTTGTACAGATTTGGTTGTTAGTTCAGGTGGAAACGTTGAAGAATTTTTACTGTCTCAATCAACTATTTGGCGAGCACAAAAGAAAATCATCCATCAAAATACTGCACAGCACAAAAGGGAGGTTAAAAAAGCTGCTAAGAAAGCACTTTTCCTCATAATAGCTCACTTTGATGGAAAAATTATAGAAGATTTCACTAATGGGAAAAAAAGAAAAAAGTGACAGGTTTGCTGTTTTAGCTAATATTGATGGAGCATGGAATTGGAGCTGCTCAGTATGAAGCTTTGAATAATGTACTGAAAGATTATGGAATATGTGATGATGTGTAGGGATTTTGTTTTGACACAACTGCCTCAAATACTGGAAGACATTCAGGAACCAATATTAGGTTCAGTCAAAGACAGGAATCTATTTTGTTAGAGCTTGCCTGCAGGAGACATAAATATGAGCTTCATCTTAAACATTTCTGGGAGCAAATTACCTTAGGCAAAACAGCAGCTCCAGAAGATTTAATGTTTAAACGGTTTCAGACAAACTGGAAAGGCATCAAGAAAACTGTTGATCCTTCCAATTTAATAAGGTTTGATATCAATTCCATCAGCAATACTTTCTTGGCTACCCAGATTGAGGAAACTATCCAGTTTTGCAAGGATGCATTAAACACTGACATATTTCCCAGAGGGGATTATAGGGAGTTATTGGAACTTACCCTAATGTATCTGCATCCTGAAATATTTTTTAAAGTTCGAGCTCCAGGCTGTGTTTCTCATGCTAGGTTCATGTCAAAAGCCATTTACTACTTGAAGATTCAGATATTGAGTACACATCTGCCCTATGATTTGACTGTTTTGACCGGCGAGGACCTTTAAAGTCACGTCACATTAAAATTTTTGAGCTTGAAATTATTTTTATATTGGTAGTCAACCATTCCCGGTAGGACCAACTTGTTTGCCAACCTCGTTTCTATGTTTTATGATCAGACCTTTGTATCAAATAGTTTTTGGCGACCTAAAAAAGATTGAGGTCGGCATTTTATTGCCGACCTCATTTTTCCAAACCCAAGATGTGTGAGTATATATATATATATATATATATATATATATATATATATATATATATATATATATATATATATATATATATATATAGATATATATATAGATATATATATATATATATATATATATATATATATATATATATATATATATATATATATATATATATATATATATATATATATATATATATATATATATATATATATATATATATGTATATATATATATATGTATATATATATATATATATATATATATATATATATATATATATATATATATACATATAAATGTGTGTATGGGGTTATTTTATATATATAATAAATAACACACAAAAACAGGTAAAAATAGACTTACTTCATTGAAAATAATAAGTCTGGGATGCTAACTTTAAAAGAGGAAGATGTTGCGGCAGCTGGTAAAAAAATATCAAAACTTTGTTAAAAAAAAACAAAAAAAAAAAAAGAAAGAAAAATAAAATAAAAAGTAACTGAAAAATACATAGATTTAAACGCATATTACGAATTGCTTCATAGGAGGCCATTGATTCTGTTGTTACATAAAAATCCAAATAAGTTGAAGTTTTTAAAGTTGTTGTTGTTGCAGTTGGCGTATCCGTTGTTGTAGTTGGAAAATCAGTTGTTGTAGTTGGAGACTTAGTTGTTTCAGTTGAAGACTGAGTTGTTGTAGTTAAAGACTGATTTTTTTTAGATGGAGACTGAGTTTTTGAAGTTGGTGACTGAGTTGTTGTAGTTGGAGGTTGAGTTGTTGTAGTTGCAGAATCAGTTGTTGTAGTTGGAGAAACAGTTGTTGGATTTAAAGACTGAGCTGTTGTAGTTGGAAAATCAGTTGTTATAGTTGGAAAATCAGTTGTTATTGTTGGAGACTGAGTAGTTGCAGTTGGAGACTGAGTTGTTGTAGTTAGAGAATCAGTTGTTGTATTTGGAGACTTCGTTGTTGTAGTTGAAGAATCAGTTGTTGTAGTTGGAGAATCAGTTGTTGTAGTTAGAGACTGAGTTGCTGTGGTTAAAGACTGAGTTGTTGTAGTTAGAAAACCAGTTGTTGTAGTTGGAGATTCGATTGCTATAGTTGGAGACTGAGTTGTTGTAATTGGAGACTGAGTTGCTGTAGTTGAAAACAGAGTATTTGTAGTTGGAGACTCAGTTGTTGTAGTTGTAACAGTTGAATCAATTGTTGGATTTGGAGACTGAGTTATTGTAGTTGGAGACTGAGTTGTTGTAGTTGGAGGTTGAGTTGTTGTAGTTGCAGAATCAGTTGTTCGAATTGGAGACTGAGTTATTGTAGTTGGAGACTGAGTTGTTGTAATTGGAGAATCAGTTGTTGTAGTTGGAGAATCAGTTGTTGGAATTGGAGACTGAGTTATTGTAGTTAGAGTCTGAGTTGTTGTAGTTGGAGGTTGAGTTGTTGTAGTAGAAGACTGAGTTGCTGTAGTTGAAGACTGAGTATTTGTAGTTGGAGACTGAGTTGTTGTAGTTGCAGAATCAGCTGTTGTAGTTGAAGAATCAGTTGTTAGATTTAAAGACTGAGCTGTTGTAATTGGAAAATCAATTGTTACAGTTGGAAAATCAGTTGTTATTGTTGGAGAATGAGTTATTGCAGTCAAAAACTGAGTTGTTGTAGTTGAAGAGTGAGTTATTGTAGTTAGAGACTGAGTTATTACAATTGAAGATTGAGTTGGTGTAGTTAGAGTCCGAGTTGTTGCAGTTGGAGACTTAGTTGTTGTAGTTGAAGACTGAGTTGTTGTAGTTGAAGAATCAGTTGTTGGATTTGGAGACTGAGTTATTTTAGTTGGAAACTGAGTTGTTGTAGTTGGAGGTTGAGTTGTTGCAGTTGGAGACTGAATTGTTGTAGTTGTAGATTGAGTTGTTGTAGTTGGAGAATCAAATGTTGCAGTTGGAAAATCAGTTGTTATTGTTGGAGACTGAGTAGTTGTAGTTGGAGACTGAGTTGTTGTAGTTAGAGAATCAGTTATTGTATTTGGAGACTTAGTTATTGTAGTTGAAGAATCAGTTGTTGTAGTTGGAGAATCAGTTGTTGTAGTTGGAGACTGAGTTGTTGTAGTTGGAGGTTGAGTTGTTGTAGTCGGAGACTGAGTTGCTGTAGTTGAAGACTGAGTTATTGTAGTTGCAGAATCAGTTTTTGTAGTTGGAGAATCAGTTGTTGTAGTTGGAGACTGAGTTGCTGTAGTTGAAGACTGAGTTGGTCTAGTTGGAGTCCGAGTTGTTGTAGTTGGAGACTGAGTTGTTGTAATGGGAGACTGAGTTGTTATAGTTGGAGACTGAATTGTTGTAGTTGAAGACTGAGCCATTGTACTTGTAGAATCAATTGTTGGATTTGGAGACTGAATTATTGTAGTTGGAGACTGAGTTGTTGTAGTTGGAGGTTGAGTTGTTGTAGTTGCAGAATCAGTTGTTGTAGATCGAGAAACAGTTGTTGGATTAAAAGACTGAGCTGTTGTAGTTGGAAAATCAGTTGTTATAGTTGGAAAATCAGTTGTTATTGTTGGAGACTGAGTAGTTGCAGTTTGAGACTGAGTTGTTGTAGTTAGAGAATCAGTTGTTGTATTTAGAGACTTCGTTGTTGTAGTTGAAGAATCAGTTGTTGTAGTTGGAGAATCAGTTGTTGTAGTTGGAGACTGAGTTGCTGTGGTTAAAGACTGAGTTGTTGTAGTTGGAAAACCAGTTGTTGTAGTTGGAGATTCGGTTGCTATAGTTGGAGACTGAGTTGTTGTAGTTGGAGACTGAGTTGCTGTAGTTGAAGACTGAGTATTTGTAGTTGTAGACTCAGTTGTTGTAGTTGGAGACTGAGTTGTTGTAATTAGAGAATCAGTTGTTGTAGTTGGAGAATCAGTTGTTGGAATTGGAGACTGAGTTATTGTAGTTAGAGACTGAGTTGTTGTAGTTAAAGGTTGAGTTGTTGTAGTAGGAGACTGAGTTACTGTAGTTGAAGACTGAGTATTTGTAGTTGGAGACTGAGTTGTTGTAGTTGCAGAATCAGCTGTTGTAGTTGAAGAATCAGTTGTTGGATATAAAGACTGAGCTGTTGTAATTGGAAAATCAATTGTTACAGTTGGAAAATCAGTTGTTATTGTTGGAGAATGAGTTATTGCAGTTAAAAACTGAGTTGTTGTAGTTGAAGAGTGAGTTGTTGTAGTTGGAGACTGAGTTATTACAATTGAAGACTGAGTTGGTGTAGTTGAAGTCCGAATTGTTGTAATTGGAGACTGAGTTGTTGTAGTTAAAGACTGAGTTGTTGTAGTTGAAGAATCAGTTGTTGGATTTGGAGACTGAGTTATTTTAGTTGGAGACTGAGTTGTTGTAGTTGGAGGTTGAGTTGTTGCAGTTGGAGACTGAATTGTTGTAGTTGTAGATTGAGTTGTTGTAGTTGGAGAATCAAATGTTGCAGTTGGAAAATCAGTTGTTATTGTTGTAGACTGAGTTGTTGTAGTTGGAGACTGAGTTGCTGTATTTAAAGACTGAGTTGTTGTAGTTGGAAACTGAGTTGTTTTAGTTGGAGACTGAGTTGTTGTAGTTGGAGACTGAGTTGCTGTGGTTAAAGTCTGAGTTGTTGTAATTGGAAAATCAGTTGTTGTAGTTTGAGATTGGGTTACTATAGTTGGAGACTGAGTTGTTGTAGTTGGAGACTGAGTTGTTGTAATTGGAGAATCAGTTGTTGTAGTTGGAGACTGAGTTGTTGTAGTTGGAGAATCAGTTGTTAGAATTGGAGACAGAGTTATTGTAGTTGGAGACTGAGTTGTTGTAGTTGGAGGTTGAGTTGTTGTAGTCGGAGACTGAGTTGCTGTAGTTAAAAACTGAGTTGGTCTAGTTGGAGTCCGAGTTGTTGTAGTTGGAGACTGAGTTGTTGTAATGGGAGACTGAGTTGTTATAGTTGGAGACTGAATTGTTGTAGTTGAAGACTGAGCCATTGTACTTGTAGAATCAATTGTTGGATTTGGAGACTGAGTTATTGTAGTTGGAAAATCAGTTGGAAAATCAGTTGTAATTGTTGTAGACTGAGTTGTTGTAGTTAGAGACTGAGTTGCTGTATTTAAAGACTGAGTTGTTGTAGTTGAAGACTGAGTTGTTTTAGTTGGAGACTGAGTTGTTGTAGTTGGAGGCTGAGTTGTGGTAGTAAGAGACTGAGTTGCTGTAGTTAAAGGCTGCGTTGTTGTAGTTGGAAACTGAGTTGTTGTAGTTGAAGACTGAGTAGTTGTTGTTAAAGAATCAATTATTGTAGTTGGAAAGTCAGTTGTTATTGTTCTAGACTGAGTTGTTGTAGTTGGAGACTGAGTTGTAGTGGTTGAAGAGTGAGTTGTTGTAGTTGGAGACTGAGTTGTTGTAGTAGGAGAACCAGTTGTTGTAGATGGAGACTGAGTTATTGTAGTTGAAGACTGAGTTGTTTTAGTTGGAGACTGAGTTGTTTTTGGTAATTCCTGAGTTATTGCAGTTGCAGATTGTATCATAGAAGTTGAATATAGAGTTAAGGTAGTTGGATTATAAGTTGCACTTGTTGGTAATTGAGTTGTTGGAATTGTATATGTTGATCCTTTAAAATAAAAAAGATCAAAATTTTAAATAATTTTTTTGAAAAGCTCAATTTAACATATTTGTATATGTTATATATATATATATATATATATATATATATATATATATATATATATATATATATATATATATATATATATATATATTTATATATATATATATATATATATAGATGTGTGTGTATATATATATATTAAATAAATGTATTTACATATATACGTATATATATATATATATATATATATATATATATATATATATATATATATATATATATATATATATATATATATATATATATTTTTTTTTTTTTTTTTTTTAACATCTTCACTTCCAACAAGGCTGCAAGCAACCACTATAAGAGTTGGAAGTTACTGGAAGAGAAAAGACTAAATCTGTAGAGCAAGATAACAATTGACTGATGACTTAAAAGATTGCAAATTATATGAATCAGGAAAGCAAGATGAAGGAAGCGAATTCCAAAGAACTGATGTTCGAGGAAAAAAACTAGAAGAATAAGAGTTTTTAAAGCACTTAGGAACAGTCACAGAAAAAGGATGAGACTTAATTGAATGGCGAGTAACACGAGAATGAATTTTAGTAGATGACACAAGGGACGCTAGCTCTTTAGAGCAGTGCCCATTATAGTATTTGTAGAAAAGAGAAAGAGAAGCAACATTACGACGATGTGACAAAGGTTGGAGATTGGCTGCCAGAGCAGGTCCAACTATGTTTACAATTCGTTTTTGCACCTTGTCTAAAAGAGAAAGAGCATCATTAGAAGATCCGCCCCAGATGTGGCAACAGTATTCCATACAGGGACGGATTTGAGATTTATAGAGATAGAGAATAGAATCTGGAGTAAGAAAGTGTTGAGCTCGATAAAGAGATGCAACCTTAGCAGATGCTAATTTTGCAATGGATTTGATATACGGTTTAAAAGAAAGATCAGAAGTAAGAGTTAATCCTAGAAGATGAATGGTAGATGACTCATCTAGTACATTACCATTCATAAATATAGGATCTAAATTATTATGATAACGATTGGCCGAATAAAATTGAGTTTTATCTGAATTAAAGTTCACCAGCCACTGTGAGCCCCATGCTGTAGCAGAAGTGAGATCCTTTTCAAGCTCAGATACCCCCTCCAAGCAATCAGAGAGTGTAGGCTTCTTATCATGACAAGAGTAAATGGTAGTGTCGTCAGCGAATAATGCCACCTTAGATGTGAGAATATCTGGAAGATCGTTAATGTAAATTAAAAAGAGTATAGGGCCAAGGATTGAACCTTGAGGAACCCCTGAAGTTACAGGATGTGAAGAAGAGTGTTGTCCATCGAGGACAACTTTTATACTACGATTGGAAAGAAAAGACTCAATAATCTTAAAGACGTTACCAGCTACACCATAAGAAGAAAGCTTATGGAGAAGACCAGCATGCCAAACTTTATCAAAAGCTTTAGAAATGTCAAGTGCGATAGCCTTAACCTCTCCACCTCTATCTAATGCACGGTAAAACCTATCGGTTATTACTGTTAGCACATCAGCTGTAGAACGAGAAGACCGAAATCCATATTGATGATCAGAAAGTAAGTTATTTGATTCAAGATGAGAGATTAAGCGTTTGTTGATTAAAGATTCAAAAACCTTGCTTATGACAGGAAGAAGACTAATGGGACGGTAGTTAGATGAATCAGATCGCTCTCCGGAATTTTTGAAAATAGGGATAACAGATGCTGCTTTCCAGCATGATGGAAACTAAGACTCTGATAAGCACTTGTTAAATAGTTTAGAAAGTATGGATGAAAGCTCCGGAGAACACCTCTGCAAGACTACAACAGGAATGTTGTCAGGACCACAAGCTGTTGAAGAGTCTAAGCAGGAAATTACTTTAGATACAGAAGCTGAAGTGATGCGAATGTCAAGCAAGGGATCAACCTGTTTGACGGCTATGTTAGGTAAAACGCAACTAGTGGAATCAAGAGATGATATTGATGAAAAGTTCTTAGCAAACAATTCAGCTTTGTCTTTAGGTGAGGTGACAAAGTCTGAACCATACAAGAGAGAAGGAATAACAGATTTGCCCTTATTATTGATACTGTTAAAGATTCTCCAGAAGTATCGAGAGCCTAATTTTTGTGATGAGATACAAGATTTAATGACCTGGGAATATTAAGCTTTGGCGTCAGACAAAACCTTTTTACAATGGTTTCTGGCGATAGTGAACAGATGTCTGTTTTCTGGAGAATTGTTTTGCTGATAGATATGGAAGTAACGGTTTCGATTAGAAATTGCTGCAGCGCAATGTGAGGAAAACCAAGGAGAAGAGTGAGGCTTGACCTGGAATCGTCGATGGAACATAGATGTGCGTGTATATATATATATATATATTAAATAAATGTATTTACATATATACGTATATATATATATATATATATATATATATAAAATAATCATAAATAAAAATATATTTATATATATAAATATATATGTGTATAATATAAATAAATATATGTATAAATATATATATATTTACAAAGAGCATTTCACAAGTTTTCTTTTGCTTTTTTGAACAGTTCAATAAAACCGTCTTACCAAACATCGATTTAACATTATGCAAATGTTTTTTACAACTTTTTACAAAGTTTACAAAGTTTTTCATATTTCTATCTAACTTATTTAAAAACTTATTTATATAATTAATATAATTAATATAATATAATAGTATAATATAGTATATATATATATATATATATATATATATATATATATATATATATATATATATATATATATATATATATACACATACATATATATATATATTATATATATATATATATATATATATATATATATATATATATATATATATATATATATATATATATATATATATATATATATATATATATAAATGTATATATTTCTATCTAACTTAATTTTATCTCTTATTGTATATATAGTATTATTTTTAATAACAGATATTTATAAAAGTTACTAACTTTTTTCTTTCGTTTACTTTGAGTAGTAGTAAGTAATTTTATAGAAATGATTTTAATTTTAATAATTCTTCTAAGATTATTTGTTGCTATAGTTGTAACAGAAGTAATACTACTGGTAATATGTTTAATGATAATAGTGAAATTGAAATGGATTTTTTGGAATTCGCTCCCTGCATCTTGTTTTTCTGATTCATATAACTTGCAATCTGTCAAGTCATCTGTTAATCGTAATCTTGCTTTATAAACTTTATCTTTTCTCTTTCAGTTATTTCCAACTCTAATAGTGGTTGCTTGCAACCTTGTTGGAAGTGAGATCTCTAAAAAAGAAATGTGGCTAGGGCAGTTCAACATACTCCCCTAACATATTGTTATCTTTATAACTAAAAACTTCTCGCAGCAGTAATTTTTAAAATGCAACAATGTGAGAGGTGATCCTGGTTGGGATAATCAATTGGTACACAACCCTGAACATGCAACACTGGTTAAAATAATGTTACATTATCTCAGTTTTACAATAGACTTTCAGTAAGACAAAAACTTCTTTTCAGTATTTTATGATAAGAAACTATTTTAACAATATGCTGTTGATGCATATGTTAAAATTGAAAGACAGTGTCTTGCTTTCATCAAAAATAACCAAAACAACTGAGAATCAAGCAGTTTAATGCCTTACATGAATATGTAAAAACCTTTGGAAACAATCATACATGAATATGTAAAAACCTTTGGAAACAATCATGTTAGAGCAAGATGTGTTGTAGTTTTGCTATCAATTTATGTTGGAAACCCTAGAGCTTTGAAAAAAAAACTTTAAAGATGCTATGGCTATAATTAAAAATTATAGTAGACCAGATTATTTTAATACTTTACTCTGCAACTCAAAATGGTGTAAGATAATTGAAAATTTATATCCAGGTCAGACTGCAATTGATAGACCTAACTTTGTTACTCAAGTATTTAAATTTAAATTAAATAATCTCCTTAATGATATTTTTAAGTATGGTGTATAAGGGAAAGTTACAACCCATGCTTAGGTTATAGAATTTCAAAAATGTGGTTTTCCACATGTTATAATTTCACTCGATTTTGATAAAAAGATTTATATAATATAAAAAATATGGTAAACCAACCTTTTTATTACTTTTGCCTGCAACCTAATATATTGATGTTAAATAACTAAAAAAAATACAAGTGTTATCAGTTTATAGTTTTCGATAAAGGGTATCTTTGAGTGTGGAGTGTGTAGAACAAGATTGTTACCTTGCAAGCCAAGCGGTGTTACTCAATTGTGGTATTGCAATTAGTGCGGTGTTACTAAATTGTGGTAAGCACCATTTAGTGTCTTGCAGTCCTAATTTCTGCTAATTATTTTTTACTCTAGATCACTTCGGAACTAAGACTAAGTGTGAATCTTGTTATAATTTATAATTATTATTATATAATTATTATAATTAGTATAAAAATATAAATACTAGAATTAGGTAATTTACATAACCTTTTATTTGCTTTGTTTAAGTCATCTATTTATATTTCTTGAACCCATCAGATAGGTGATATTTTTTATATTTTAATCAAAATACAGCTTCATGTATATCTACTTTTTATTATACTGTTTTTTTTATTTCCCATTACTTTCAGATATTCTTTTATATCATGACTGATAAGTATAAGATTATTATAATAACTTTTTTTTTATTGTTAGTTTTGTGGCTGTTATGATATTATAACTAGTTTATAGAACTGATTATAATTATCCTAAAATAAAATGATATTATATTTATTTATAAATTCAAATTATAACAAAAATAAAAATATTTTTGTTATAATCATTTTTTGAAAAAATCATAATAGTATGCATATTGCTGTAAGTCTCTGCTTCTAATTGTTAAAACAAATAAAAATAAAAAATCATGCACAGAAATTAAAATACCCTATAATGCTTTTGTCATTAAAAACACTATCTGCCTCTCTTTTTAATGAAGGTTTATTAATAAAGGGTAGCATTATTGGAACACTTTGTTAATACTAAGCTCTTATGTATTTCTTAGTGCCATAATTGATTTTAAAAATGTATAAGAGATGTTTCACCAGTCTCTTACTAATTCATGATATATGTATTCCAGTAGTAAGCGACCAGGGTTGATATTTGACTGGGGCTGGAGCCAGATTTGATAAAATATAGCCGGGGCTGGGGTTGGGTTTGTGATGGTATGCATAAGCATTTATACTTCATAAAGTATATTTTTCTTATTCAAAATTCATGTTATATTTGATATATATATGCATATATAAACATCATTATGATCAACATGATCATGACCATCATCATCGTCATCATCATCATCGTCATCATCATCATCATCATCATCATCATCATCATCATCATCATCATCATCATCATCATCATCATCATCATCATCATCATCATCATCATCCTCATCATCGTTATCATCATCATTATTCAGGCTTGGTTGGGAAGCGGGTGCGTATGTCTATTTTATTCAAATGTAATCTTTTAAAGCAATTTATGCGATTGATTTTGTAAACAAAAATACTTTCAATAATAACTGCGTTTTCAATGAAATTATTAATAATCGTCAAAGTTAATACAAATATTTTTAACCACAAATCTATTTTCCTCAGTGTACCCAATAACTGATTCTTTCAAAAATTTCTTTCCCCAAGAAAGAAAATTTTTTAAGTTCTTAAAAATTGGTTTACTAACTTTAACTATTTTTGCTTTAGCCATTCTTACAAACTTGTTATACTTACAGTTACTTTTTTCTGTTTTAAATACTAATTAAAATTTTAAAGCCCACTTACTAAACATCATCAGCTTTATTGTGAAGCAGTTCTGGTTCCTCCTCACAAAGTAACTTAACGTGTTTAGTTAATTTCTATCTAGCTAATTGAATTTCTTCAGTCAACTCAATGATTTAATTATTTCATTTGTTTATCTTACTAAGAAGAACTGTTTCAAATGTGTTAAACTTTTTAAACTACGCGAAGCATAAAACAGTTATTGAAAAAACTTTTTTATTTATAAATAAATCATCTAGCGTTGATTTTTTTGGTTGAGTCTTGTTGGACTTTTCAGGGCTGGGGGCAGCATTATTTTGGTGGTCTTTTTTATGTGCAACAGCGTAAAAATGACTAAAAAAAAATACAGAATGGTTCTCTCGACTATTTCCCCTAACATTGTGAGTCCCGGGGCTATAGCCCTACTACCCCCACCTCACCTCCTCAATCCGCAACTGGAATTAAGACATATGTATAAATAAATTTTGTATGTACTCTTTGATAAATCGAAGAACATTTCTTTCTTTATAGTTGTTACTTTGTATAAAAAATGTCACTTAATTTTATAAAAAAAATTATAAAAGAGCGACGTTTCAAAAGTAATTGCTCTAATAAATTTATTTTGCTTAAAGTTTTTTCACGTTAATAGCTATTTTTCTTTTTTTAACTGTCTCTCATTGGTCTAGTTAATCTTATTGCGCTTTTTTGTTTGTTTTTAAAATGTTCTCAAAAACGACTGAAAAATCTGGCCGGTTTTTCGCAACTAAATATTATTTCTGTGGTCATTTATTGAGTGCGATCGCACCCGCTTCCCAACCAAGCCTGATTATTATCATTATCATCATCATCATCATCATCATCATCATCATCATCATCATCATCATCATCATCATCATCATCATCATCATCATCATCATCATCACCATCATCATCATAATCATCATCATCATCATAATCATTATCATCATCATCAGGCTTTACTCTTCCTTTTTTATGCTGTTTCTTTAGTATAAACATTCTAGAGCAACTTCTTTTGTTAACTAAAGCTCATTTATACAACATGTAAGGCATTTTCTTTAAGTTTTCTTGCATTTACCACTATCATTTTCTCCTGAAGATGCTACCTCTTTTCTTTATCATTTACTATCATTTACCTCAACCACTTTCCCTTTAAACTTTAAAATTGGTAAAGCCTTGAAATCAAAGTCATGTGCACACATAATTGCATCACTGGAACTACTTAATATAAGACCTTCCTTTCAGAAAAAAAGCCTTTATTGGTCCAACCAGAAAAACCATTCTGTTTGAGATATTTTATGTGACAGTGAACAAATGCATTGTAAATTCTCTTGTACACCACTGTCAACACATTTACAAGTAACAAAATACAGTTTGTAATGATTGCCTATATCAAATACAGATTTTAATGATTTGAAACTAGGAAAGTGATTATTAGAACTGGTATATTTACCAAGACCCTTAACTTTATAAATCAATTTCTTCAAATGGTTGACTACAATCATTTTATCAATTGCTGGCATACTTGCTGTGTTGTAGATACTTAGAACTTCTTGTGCTACAGTTGTCACTCTCTTCTGAATACAATCACGCTTTAAGTAGTAATCATGCAGTCTGTTAACATTACTAGAAGTAGGAAGTTGATTTTTTTTCATATCTACAGGCTGGCCCAGAATGGAGTGTTTAGTGGCAACTCTTGTGCTAACGGACACCATTCCTTAATACTCAATGCAATGGAAACCAATTTGTCCAACCAACAATAGATGAAAAAATTGATAATAAACAACTTATTGAAATAAAACTTGTTATATTTTTTTAAAACTTAATGCTAGATTTCGTGTTGTATGACAGGTAATTATATATATATATATATATGTGTATATATATATATATATATACATATGTGTGTGTATATATATATACATATATATATATATATATATATATATATATATATATATATATATATATATATATATATATATATATATATATATATATATATATATATATATATATATATATATATATATGTATATATATATATATATATATATATATATATATATATATATATATATATATATATATAAACAGCTTGTTTCTCCATCAGTAGGATGCCTTCCTTATGATCCTACTGATGGAGGAACAAGCTGTAGAAGAAAAAAAAAACTAGATAAGTGTTTTTACTATTTATATATATATATATATATATATATATATATATATATATATATATATATATATATATATATATATATATATATATATATATATATAATATATAAATATATATATATATATATATATATAAATATATATATATATATATATATAAATATGCATATATGTATATATGTGTATGTATATATATAATATATATATACGCATATATATATTAAATTTACATATATGCATATATATATATATATATATATATATATATATATAATATATACATATATATATATATATATATATATATATATATATATATATATATATATATATATATATATATATATATCTACGGTGTTCATGTAAAAACATAAATCATTAAATGTGGTTATTGAAATAAACTGTTAAAAAAACAATTTTCATATAACATTAATCCAAACGTTACAGGGGCGGTATGCCCTCACTTCCCCTACCTAGTATGAAAAAGTTAAAGAATATTTCAATCAAAAAATGTGCAAACAAAATCAATTTATTAATTAAAACAATAACAATAAAATAATAAAGACCTTCATTTGTTGAAACAGTTGTGGGTATAACTGAAGTTGTCGCAGTTGTGAATATAACTGCAGTCGTGGATTTAGCTGTTGCAATCAAACATGATTGAAAAACTTGTAAACAGTATTCGTCCACAGAATGATATTTACAAAACCAGAATGATATTTACAAAAACAGAATGATATTTACATAAATAAAAAATCTAAACAAATAAATAAAAAATGACATAAAAAATAATAACAAAAACTAATGTTTAAAAAAAAATTGTGGGAAAAACCTATAGCTTTTTTCCACAATTTTTTTGAAAATATTTAAAAAAATTTTGAAAATATTGAAAAACTTGTTTTTATATATAACAAGTTTTTGAATATTTTCTAAAATTACAAAAGTAAATTTAAATTTAAAAGTAATTTATAATAGCACTAAATAAACATGTAATTTTGATTAATAACAAAATTATGATGAATTCTATAATCAGCAGAGAGTTTTGGTGCCTTGTACATTCTGTAAGCATTACTATTGTTTTGTAAATTCTGTAAGCATTACTATTGTTTTCAATTAAGTTTCTGCAGTATGAGTTGAATAAAAAAAATTTTTGTTATCAAAAAATTTTAAATTGAACAGCAACAGATAATTTGTATGATATGGTAGGCAGAGCAAAGCAGATTGGTGAAGCAGATCTTATTTTTTTATGTTCATTCACCTCCCCAAGGCCACTAAGGCCACTATAGTTAAAAAGATTATTTTTTTGTGGTAGAAAACCCCTCTCAACTCTATAACTCCCAAACACAAACCTTCACAAACAAGACCAATGCGCGGAGTAACAATTTGATGGCAGTACTTTCAGATTTGTGATAAGGGTCAAACACAGAACTTTTTGTTTAAAAGGTGAGTACCATTACACCACTACGGCATAGATCATTTATATAAAAAATTTTAAAACTAAAAAAAAAGTACTACTACCCAAATTCCTACCAAATCATTATTGGTCCTCACATATAGAACTTCACATATAGGAACTTTTTTAAAAAAAAGTTTAAAAAAATGCTTAGGAATTAGATTAAATTTTATAATATTAATAAATATGGTTCCCACTTAAGTAGAATAAATTATGATTTAAGCCAAAAAATATAAGACAGTTGAGTTTGACATTATGGTAGAGTCACTAGATCGAATTAGATTTTTCCTTACCTCCTCAAACTAAATGGCGCCATATTAAAAATAAGAATCATAAAACTTAAAATTTAAGAATCATAAAACTTATAATTTTATATATCAAGAAGTCATAATATTCATGCTTATTATTATTGATAAAATTTATAAAATGAACAGAAAATCTATTTTGTTTATGACCTTTCCCAGTGCTTAATTTACAATTTTGGGGGCCCTAGGCTGAATATAATTTTGGATCCCCTTTTCCTAAAATATAAGAAAAAATTAAATGCGTTACAAAAACTTTGTTAAAAATATTTCAATTCAAACAACTTTTTTTTTATTTTCCATAAAAAAACATTAATTCATTGAAATTGATTTCTATCATTTTATCAATATTACTAGATAATATTGTAAGAGCATTAAACAAAACTCAAGACTTTTATTATTTTTTGAAAAGGATTTATTTTTTCCTGAGTAATTAGTGGACATTAGCCGCAAAAAAATTTTCCAACTTTTTGTCTTTGATGATTTCATAAATTTCTTGGTGATTCAAATTGGAACTTTCACTCGAGGCTTTCACAAACAAATTTTTGACTTCTTTGAATAAATGTCGATGCCTTTTAACACAATTTAACAATTTTGATGACTAACTTTCAAATTTTCAATCTTTTAAATAAAGTTAAAAATCAAGTTTTATTTGAAGTTAAAAACACTTTTTCTTTAAAAAGGAAAAGATGTCACAGAATCTGTTTCTCTGCCTAGATTTTTATCAAAAAACTTTTTCTTTAATCTTTTCCTAGTAACTTTGGTTTCGACATCTGAAAGAAGATTTTTTGCTTCTATCTCAATTTGATCAAATTGATCTTACAAAATTTTAAAATAGTTCATCAAAGATGATGAACTATTCAAGTGGTGCACAAGTAAACCTGCCTCACTTAGAGTTTTTTAAAGAGCGAGAAACACAGTTTATTCTATCCAAGATTGTGTTCCACATTACAGTTTAAAAAACAATTCAAATTCCCTCATTTTTCTAACATATTTAAAGCCTCTGACTTCAGCATCAAAATCAGAATTTTCAGCAATCTCTTCCAAAGACTTGAGGATTTAGGAAAAGTTATTTGAAACCACCTTCACGAAGTTTTGCATGAGCATTCCATCTAGTTTTAGACAGAGTTTTGAATGATAAGTTTAGTTAATACATTCCATCTTTTGGTTGAGTATTCAAAGAAATTATATATTTTCTGGATGATTGCAAATAAATTCACATATTCTATGAGGAGTTAACACTTGCAGTTCCTACTAAATTCAAAGAATGCCTTGAGCATGGAAGAAATTGAGCAAATTTATTTTTCTCTAAAATATTTGTCTGCATTTCTTTATATTTTCCTGGCATGTTCGGTGCATTGCTGTAAGATTGGCTTCTGCAGCCTGGTTGATCAGTATGAGACAAGTCTGGCATTGAGCCTCAGAAAGACCAAAATATTTAGATTGCTTGATATCATCAATTATTGACAATAAAACCTTTTTCACCATTAGTTGCATAATTTCTTCACAACTTGTACACAAGTTTGAAAAGTTATAACTACTTTTAGTTGTGGTTACAACTAAAGGTAACCTGCAAATAATTAAAATTAAGAAATTAAGCAAAAACATTTCAACAAAATTTTAAAAAACCTGCTGTAGTTAAAAATGTTGCAGTTAAAACTGTGGTTATAGTTGATGTTGGAAACTGTAATGTTGCAGTTGAAATTAAAGCTACAATAGCAAAAACATGATATATCAATAAAATATATTTTGTTATATAATATATTAATACTACTGAAAAAAGCATAAAATCATTTATAAAAAATAAAAATAAAAATGCAAAAAAACTATAAAAGTAGTAAATTCTTAGGAACGTCTATTGAGAAGTTTAATTTTAAGATTAAACTTCTCAATAAAACAAAATTTTTTTTTTTGCCAAGTATTTAATAAAAAGTAAAAAAAATTGTAGTATGACTTGATATTATATCTTATTTTATTCTATTTTGTTTTAATTATTATTTTGTTTTTCAATTAAAACTTGCTCCAAACTTCATTTCTACAAGCAGAAACTTTTTAAGAGCTATTTGAAAGTTAAGAATAGAGTTATTGGTTGACAAGTGATTGGTTGACAACTGATTGGTTGACAAGTGATTGGTTGAAGTCAGGAAAACATGAAGATGAGAGAGAATTTCTTTGATGTTTCTCAAAAAAAAAAGTTAGGATTAGTTACAAGAATACCGTTATGTTCAATGTATAACCCGTGTGAAAAATGTATAACATCAAATACTGTTATGTTTTTTTGTACAAATTATACATTGAACATAACTGTAATTACCTGTTATAAAACACAAATCTTAAGTTCAGTATTTTAAAAATATAACAGGTTTCTTTTTTACTATGCAAATAAAACATGCAGAGAACTATAAAATGTGATGTTTTCTTTAACATTTTGTTGATTTTAATTTAGAAGTTGTACCAGAACACTTCATAGCTATAGTTGCATGATTTTTAGCAGTTTTTTAGAATATTCTCAAATCTAGTATGGCTAGATTTTCTTATTTACCATATTTTCTGATGTTGATAAACTTTAATTTTTGTTGAAACATTAAGCATATGCTACATAAGTATATGCTAAAAATTATTTAGTGATTTGAGTAAACTTGTTGTGGAAACTTTTTTGAAAACTAATTTAGCTACTTAAAAATGTTGAAATTCAAAGTAAATACTCAGATGCTAAGCAAATACTAAGTAAATTGCCTGTTGCTAAGCAAATACTAAGTAAATGCTCTGTTGCTAAGTAAATATGAAGTAAATGCTCTGTTGCTAAGTAAGTGCTGAGTAAATGCTCTATTGCTAAGTAAAAACTAAGTAAATGCTCTGTTGCTAAGTAAATGCTGAGTAAATGCTCTTTTGCTAAGTAAATACTAAGTAAATGCTTTGTTGCTAAATAAATACTAAATAAATGCTCTGAAGCTAAGTAAATACTAAATAAATGCTCTGAAGCCAAGTAAACACTAAGTAAATGCTCTGTTGCAATAAATGTAAATTTATATTTTTAGTTAATTTAAGACTATTCCCTCAGTAATTTACCATAAGAAATAAAATATAAATTAAATAACAGAGATATAATTATAACAACAACAACAACAACAACAACAACAACAACAACAACAACAACAACAACAACAAAATTATTTTACTTAAAATTTACAATCATCTAATTACAATAATATATTAATAAAAATATTAATAATAATAATAACAATAATAACATTAATAGTAATAATAATAATAATAAGAACAGATCTATAATATTATAAATAAAAAAACCAAAATATCATTATTAAGAATAAATTCAAATAAATGATTGACAAAGAAGGAGTCGCTCATGCAGAAACCTGATCAAAGGAGTGACACCAAACAATTATATTAATAATATTAATTTAAAAAATAATAATAATAACAATAACAACTTTATTCATTAATAGAGCAAAAGTAACAGCAAAAGTAATAGTATTTATTACAATTATAATAATAGTAATAATAAAAATAGAAGAAATTAAAAAAATAATAATAATAATGACAAAAACAATAACATAAAGTTAAAATAAAATAAAGTTTCTATAAATATAGTAAGAAGAAAAAGTAAAATAAGAAAATTAAAAGAAGATAATAATAATAAAAACATTAAAACAATTTTTTTTTAAAATTTGTTTAAATTTATTTCATTTAAATAAGGTTTTAAATAAAGATAAATTATTTTTAAGTTTTAATTTTTCAAACTCATTCACAATGCACACAAAGCTTCGATTCCATTCACTGATGCACTGATGTGTAATTAAATACTTACCATACCTCAATGTTTTATAGGGAGGTACATTTAGTTTTTCATTATTGATGTTTCTAGTTAAATGTAAATGTATTAATCAACTTTCAGTAAAGAAGGTTGTAATAG